TTTCTTTCCAGCGAAGTTCGAATTTTGGGTCTCCAAAACAGACGAGTCACAATCACACACCCAAGGTCGAACACAGAGATTCGACCTTTTAGGGATGGCGGCGAGCCGCCCGTAGGGGAGTAGGTTACCTGGTACAGCGCGACACGTTAACGTAATGCGCAACGAAACTCAACGACCTTCGCAAAGCGGTCGCGATTTTCGGATGGCCTTCGTACGTGCTGAAAACAACACACACTCGCCTCATGTGCACCCGCAGGTTCACTCGTGTGATTCGAGTTGAGTTCACATTTGACATTCGAACTTATGTGCCCCAAAATTCTCATGTCTTTGCCAAAGCTTCCTGACGACATTAGCGAAGCTGGTAACCAGACAAAGTTCGACCTTTTTTCCGAACTTGAAAATAGATCACACGCGCTCTAAGGCTACGCAAAGTGGAGCTTTTGTGCTTGAACTAAAGAAAAGCATAGGTGATCTTCGTTTAGATGAATTGTAAGTGACGATTCTTACCAGCATGACGCCCACAAATTTCGACCAGTCCTTACATTTAACGTGGACACTTGAAACTGGTCCAGTCGAGACGGAATATAATAATTTATGGAGCGCCATTCTAGCCCACCTCTATGTATTAGAGATTCAACCAACTGCGAGACTGAGTCGAGCGAATCTTCGGACTCAGTCCGAGACGCGAATTTTCGGTCTCAATGTTGGATCCTAGATGCATCTTAATTTTGATGAGACGTTCGTTCTAGACACGGAAATGCATGGTCTCAACGCAACAGATGGTCTCAATGCATGTTAAATGCGATAAAGTTCCCACTAACGGAGACACGGGATACTATGCACAGCATGATTGTATGCATGGACTCACCAGCGACGATACCAATAATGGCCTCTGTGGAGAGATCGCCACCCTTCATCTTATCGTACGCGCCTTGGAAGTCGTACATCGTGCCGTTACCCGCAGTCACCGTATCATCAACAGCCACGGTGGCAGATTCTGTTGGAACCGTCGCGTCGACGGGAGTGGCGGCGTCAGGATCGAAATTAGCGTCGGTCGTGTCAGGAGCAAACGCAGCAGACGCGGTATCCGTCGGCTGGGCTGCATCTTCAACGGGAGGGGTATCAGTGGGAATGTCCTCCGGCGCAGTGGTGGTTTCCGGGGAATGTCGTCCGGCGCAGTGGTGGTTTCTGAGGGGATGTCCCCCGGAGCCGGTTCGCCAGCAGGCTGTTGCTCGTCTGCGGGAGTAGTATCGTCGGGCACGTAGGCGTCTTCCGGGGGAAGGAACGGATCTTGCGCATCCTCGCCTGGAACTGCATCGGTGGGAGCAGTTTCGCCTTCGTTGAAAGCGTTCGGGTCTGTGTATTGGTCGAGCTGGTCCGGAGGCACGCCCATGTCCTCCGGCAAGGTAGTGTCCCCTGCGGGATCAGGTAGTCTTGATCTGGTTGCGCGTGACATACCGTCGAGCCAAGTAGGACTAGGCTAAGAACGAGAATGAGACTGAATCGGTGGAAGGAGCGAGCCATGCCTAATGCTCGAGACGTCCCTGCTATGTTACTGCACGAGAACCCCAATGCCTCTTGAGAAAGTGGCTGTGAGGAGGGAGCAGCGGCCAACAATGCAGAAAACAAGACTAAGTAGGAATTTTCTGTCACTAACGACTGATTTAGTTTCCGCGATATGCTTTGAATGCCAGAAAGTGGTATTGGGCTGGTTTGATTAACCATGGACCTCGAAGTTGGTGGAGGAGATATCGAGGCTCGGCTCGAAGGAAGCGGGAACAGAACAGCCGAACCACAAGTACGTCTGGCGGGAACAAGCCTGGCAAGCACAAAGAAAAACTGGGACCACTGTTCGCAGATCGGGAAACGGAGGAGGGAGAGGGAAATCACTTGGTTTTGGCGTTTGCCGAAGCTGACTGCTAGTGTGCTGATTGAATGCCGAACTGCAGCCACATGGGACCTGTCAAAACAGCTGCGGGATTGCCGGAAGTGCCTGGGGCTTGGCGGTAGGTGCGACTAGGTGCTACCAGGATGCAGAAAGGCGGCTTTGTGGCGAAAATTCTCGCCCTATAGTAACGGCAAGCGTCACGGAAACCACAGCTACCACTTGAACCCCCGATATAGTTTCTTTCCCTAGAGTGAACTTACACATGTGCTGGCTACAAGAGTTTCGAACACTGAGTGCTCTCAAAAAGAATATTGAGTAAATACTACCATATTGTGTGTGCTCGGTGGGAAGGATTCGTTTGTGGTTGTACTTTACAACCACACAACTTCGTTCTACGATGTGATGTCAGGACGCGTTGAAAGTGCAAATATCGCGGGATCGCGAGCAAAATCGAGCCCCACAATCGAGTGGGCAGATCGATTGGCGAAACATGAAGACCGGTACGTTGTAACGATCGCACCTGAGCTTTGTGGTGGATATCCCAGGGCCGAGATTACTGCCCTGCATGCTACTCACACCCAAAAAATATACGTCGTCCAACCCACCTGCGACACTCGCAGCCAGCAGGGCAACCACCCTGGCGATGTGATGTTTACAGATTTCGCCAAATGTGGACAATTTGGGCGACAACGATTCCTGGCTCTGCGAAATTTCAGAAAGTCGCAGGCATCAGAATCAATTGCGCCAGGTAGGCTCGGTTCGTTTACATCAATGACACTTTGATGCTTCTCACTGATCTCCCGCGATCAGTGATCAGTCGCATTCACACACTGTGCACAAATTTTGGCAAAAAAATCGCACTGTAGTAAGGTTACAGCACAGTAAATAGGGTTACAGATCCGCACACCGATCGCGACCCAAGATCGATCATCTACTTTTCAACGCGTCCTCAGGGGGCGACGAATGCTTTACGGCATGATAGAGTCCAGACCAGAGACTTGCATTGCGTCTTCATGAAGCAAGGCGCCTTATCTTTCAACCCCAGACCCTACTCATGCGTACGGAATCATCGTTTCGATGCGTGTGCTCGCTCGGATCACATCGAGCATCCGTCCCGTATTTAGGCTCAGACTCGCCACCAGTCGAAGCACGCTAGATTTAGCAGCACCGCCACTGACAGTAGCGGTAGTGCATGATTGCGATCCAGCAGCGAACGCTCTCGCGTTTCGTCTGAATTCGTTACGTCCGTCGTGCAGCATGCCTAGCAAGAAACGAGGCTCGCGCAAGCACAGGGAATCCCACCGAGACGAATCACCGCGCGGACGAGGAGAAGCGCGCAATGGCGACAGCGGCTTAACGAATGCGGAGGCGGGGAAGGCGGAGTGTGCGGAAGCGCAAGCAGCGCTAGCAGCGCGAGCAGCGCAGGGTCGAAGACGCGGAAAGTGGCAGTGGCACGAATAGTGGCGGCGTTTTACCCAAAGTTCGAGAACGAATCTGCGGATGGCGAGGTGAATCCGTGAGGCTCTTGAGGAAAGCGACTCACAGAGAGGTGGAAAAAAGACTTAGTGGTGGGGAAACGGCCAGCCCTCACGTGCTCTGTTATGCGGACAACCATTGAGTCATAGCGCTGAATCCGATGCGCCTCCTTACCACCCTTCCCGTTCCGCCCTGATCCGTTTCCGCCCCAACCCCTTTCGCCCGGCTCCCGTCGCGCCAGGTCCGCGGGGAGATAGAGAGGCTTGTCGGCAATGGCGTTGGCGTTCTCGAGTGAGCCTCTCAGGCAATCTGCACCATTGATGCTGTCAAATTCATCTGCACCGTTGATGTTGACATCAACTCATTCATTGCTGGAGGGTGAGCCATGCTTCCTTCCTTTGCCATCCAGCTTCTTCCTGAACAGCGAAATCCGTCGAATTCTGACTCGTTGCTTGCAGTATGCTCAACCCTTTCCCTCCCCTCTTTCTCTCCGCCCCTCATCCCCCTCACCCCTTCGAACCCCTCTTAAAACCCCATTCCCGGACAGGTTTCAGTGAAGCACAGCGGCTCTCTCTTTCTGTGGCGGGGGCGAGGAGAGGCGCGTATGCTAAGAACTCCTACGGCAACGAGTGAGTGACGCGTCTTGATGTGTCTTATAATTAAGAAGAAATAGTGATTGGAAGCGTCTACACCATACCTCATCGTATTGCCTCACTGAATGCCAAGCCTGTCCCTCCTGTCCCACACACGTCCTCAGGTACTCTGCGTGGGCCTGTGGGTACCGGGGGAGAGTTACTAGAATTGTCCATACCACATCGTATTGCCCACGCCCACTGGCTGCTATGCCTGTCCTTCCTGCCGTGCCTGTCTGTCCTGCCTTACCGCATGTCCTCAGGTACTCAGCAGTGGGCGTGTGGGTGCTGGGAGAAACTCTGCGCAACGCGTGGGGGGAGGGCGTGGTGCGGCAGAAGGAGAGGGAGCTGAGCGAGTACCTGGAGGTCAGTGGTCCCGGGGGCAATGGGGGAGGCAGCGCAGTAAGTGGTTGCTGCATCTGTTCTCGACTCGCCTTACGAGTCACTTCGTGGGGGGAGGGCGTGGTGCGGCAGAAGCAGAGGGAGCTGAGCGAGTACCTGGAGGTCAGTCACTCACTTCACTGAGCTGGGGTTATGGCGGAGCCAGTGCCGGAGCTGTCTCTGTATCTGTGTGCATGTGAAAGAAGGAGTGTTTTGAGACGTCTCAAACACTCCTTCTTTCTGTGTGCATGTGCGTGCATGCGTGTCTCTGTGGCTGCATGTTTGCATGCATGGGTAATTAAATTGCTATGTGAAGTGCAGAAGAATTGAAACCATTCCAGCAGCAACCAACATCCCCCCCTTTACCTTCCCTCTCTTATGCACGCACACACACATGGCAGAGGCATCGCATGGCAGTGGGTATGGAGCTGGTCACGGCAGTGCTGGGAGACCACGGGCAGAGACCCCTGCAAGATTATGGTGAGTCCTCTGCGTGACCACGGCTCGACCCGACCATTGTGGGATTGTTTGCTTCCATGATTTGTTTTGGCTTGCATGCTGTCGCCTGGCCCTTGCCTGCCTTTTAACGTCGTCCTTCCCTTCTCTTGCATGCTCTCTCTCCCTCCGCCGCTACCCCGTGCTCGCATCCATACCCTCTCCCAGTGGAGGTGACACCAGTGACTGACATGGTTTTTGAGGTCCTTCAGAAAAGTGTTTTTGTTCACGGTTTCAACCATACACCCGTCTCTCCCTCCCTCCCCCATGCCCGCACCCATGCACACCTCCCTGCCAGTGGTGGTGACAGCAGTAACGGACATGGCAAGCCACCCCCCACGCTTCCTCTCCACCCCCGAGGTGCTGCGCTTCTGTCACACCTGGCGCCTGCCCTTCAACTCCTACTGGCTCTTCCACTCCACGTACGCTCCTCGCTCTTCTCATCTCTTCTCTTCTCTTCTTCTCCCATTCCTTGTCTTGTCTTCTCTCCTCCCTTGTCTTCTCTCTCCCTTGTCTTCTCTCCTCCCTTGTCTTCTCTCCTCCCTTGTCTTCTCTCCTCCCTTGTCTTCTCTCCTCCCTTGTCTTCTCTCCTCCCTTGTCTTCTCTCCTCCCTTGTCTTCTCTCCTCCCAACCGCCTGTCTCCTCCCAACCGCCTGTCTCCTCGCACCAGTTGGCATTCTTCGTTTTGCAGCATATCCTGCCGTTTATCTCTTGCTTGCTCTTCCACCTCGAATACGCCCTCTTGTCTCTCTCCACTCGTCTCTCTCCACTCGTCTCTCTCCACTCGTCTCTCTCCACTCGTCTCTCTCCACTCGTCTTTCTCACCTGTCCTCTCTCCCCTGTCCTCTCTCCCCTGTCCTCTCTCCCCTGTCCTCTCTCCCCTGCCCTCTTCCCACCCTCCCTCTGAGCGCTGAGCGACGAGCAATCAAATGTGACCCATCTCCCAGAATGTGCCACCCTACTTCCTTATTCCTTCTCGTTTTTCCCCCAGGCCTCTCCCCGCCTATTATTGCCACCAGGGAATCATGTGCACAGCTGTGTGCAGCGTACAACGCACTGAGCGAGGAGGGCATGGCCCACTCAGTCGAGGAAACTCTCAGCTGCCGCATGCAGCTCCCATTTCCTCCATACCCTCCCTCCCCCATCACCCTATGCCTAACCCCCTCCCCGCCTGTCACCAGGGAATCATGTGCAAAAAGGAGTGTTTTGAGACGTCTCAAAAAAGAAGGAGTGTTTTGAGACGTCTCAAAAAAGGAGTGTTTTGAGACGTCTCAAAAAAGAATGAGTGTTTTGAGACGTCTCAAAAAAGAAGGAGTGTTTTGAGACGTCTCAAAGCATGCAGCTCCCATTTCCTCCATACCCTCCCCCCCCATCACCCTATGCCTAACCCCTCCCCGCCTGTCACCAGGGAATCATGTGCACAGCTGTTTGCAGCGTACAATGCACTGAGCGAGGAGGGCACGGCGCACACTGTTGAGGACACCCTCACCAGCATCGCAGACGTCACCATTGCAGGTCAGATGCTTCATCGCAGACTCACGCACACTCTGTTTTTGTTTCTGTTTCTGGCGCTCAGCCTCCCTTGGATTCCTGTGGGTCTCGCCTTCCTCTGCCATTTCCATCTCGATCCCATTCTTGGTAGAAAACTATAACCTTTTGTTTGCTCCGCTCTCCTCTCCCCTACTATTGCCTCCCCTCAGGCACAGCATCGCATGGGAAGCTTCAGGGAAACATCATGGAGGGGCTGGTGGCGAGGCTGGTGAGCCCAGGAGTTTGCAGCAAGTCAGCGAGCTTAAGGCGGTGCTGAGGGCTGGTGAGTGGTGACGTGCTTTTTTCTGACAAAGAGTTCAGACCACGTGGTTTTAGTGCGGTTGGTGGCGATGCTCGTTAACCCCGCCCCAGGAACCTGCAGCAAGAATTCAGACAGTTCAAGGCAGGGCTGCTGGGGGGTAGGTGGTGCAGAGGTGAAGGTTGAGGGATGGGGTTAAGGTGCGCGGGTGGTGAGGTGATTCTTTTCTTCGGGATGGCGCTTGGTTTTGGTGAGGCTGATGAACCCCAGGAGCCGGGAGCCTGCAGCAATCACCGCCGCCCTTCTTCGTATCGAATCAACTTCTCTCCCCTCTTCTCGTCTGTTTGTTTTCTCGTGGCCCCATGCTCTCCTGTCCCTTTCTTTGCGTCTCCTCTGCATCAGGCCCGGCGGCCAGCTATCCGGTGGGAGCAGGCACGCGACTGAGAGAGCTCTTCACTCAACACGACTCCATGCGCGAGGTCAGTGAGGCTGGGCAATGCAGGGGGTGAGGCTGTGGAGGAGATGTGTGTGACTAGGGTGCATGAGAATAGAAGGGGGTGAGGGCAGATAGGAAGTGCGAATGGAGAGTGGGGGAGGTCAGAGGAGATGCAGTGGGGGAGGTCAGAGGAGATGCAGTGTTAGAATGCGGTTCCTTTCCCCCATTTCAAAGGCAACAGATACTGCATTTTGTCAGTCGCTCCACAGCGCATCGCCCATCTGGTGGAGGAGGCAGGAGACGCCATGTGCAGCGAAGGGCACTTGGGGAGGGCGTGGCGGGGGGTATGGGAGTAGAGGCGAGTCGACTTTTGAGTCGACTCAAAAAGTCGACTTTTGAGTCGACTCAAAAGGGGGAGGGCGTGGCGGGGGGTATGGGAGTAGAGGCGAGGACCAAGTAGGGGACTATCTTAATGTACCTTATCAAATACACTCCCTTCACTTCCTTCCTCTCCCTCCCTCCCCCAGCGCATCACCCATCTGGTGGAGGAGGCAGGAGACGCCATGTGCAGTGAAGGGCAGTGGGGGGAGGGCGTGGCGGGGGGGTATGGGAGTGGGGGAGAGGAAGAGGAAGGAGGCACTGTGGTGGAGGGGGAGGAAGGTGAGAAGTGCGGGGAAGGCGAAGCAGAGGCGGAGGGAGCAGCAGGAGGAGGAGGAGGAGGAGGAGCGGCATGTGTCTGACTGGATGAACTCTCTGCTCAGCTGCACTGCTGCAGATGCAGAGTCAAGCAAAACTGCAGGTCTGTGACTGTTGTGTCACACAGTTAGGCTTGCAGGGTGGTGGTCTGTTTTACAGGCACATCAAGAACAGGCTCGAAGGGTAGTGGTAGTGCCTTCGTCACATTGTTTTCCTCCTGCCCGTCTGTTTCCTTTTCCTCTTTTGCCCAAATCCCAACCCTTTCGACTCCATTGCTCCCCTGCCACTCCGTCTCAGGCCATGCTAGGCGAGCGGTTGAGAGCCGAGAAGCTCAAAGTGAGGTTCAAGTCACCCCCTGGCCCCTCCCCACATCGCCCTCTCTCCTCGCCCCTGCCCCCTCCCCTGCCCCCGTCCCCTTCCACCTCCTCCACCTCCACCACCACGTCATCCATCCTCTTCTGCTCCCTCCTCCTCCTCTTCCTCACACGAAACCGACCTCAGCGCCCCTCTCTCACCATCTAATTACCGTTCACGCCTTCCAAGACGCAGCCTTCCGCAGATACCAGCAACTGATGCGGTGAGATGCAGTGATGTTGTTTGATGGTTGAAATTTCAAAACCATCTTCCTCTAAACCTGAAACCTTCAGATAATCCATGACTTGTCCACCAACGTGCTCGCTATCCATCTTCTAGCTGTCCTGCACATCCTCCACATCCCCTCTCCGCACTCTCACTCTCACTCTCACCCTCACCCTCTTGCCCGCCCCTCACCCCTTTCCCTACTCTCACGCCCGCCCTCAACCACCCGCCACTGTCACACCTGCCATGCCTCCAGCAAGGACCCTAGTCTGTGGCCGCTCTACCGGGGTTCTTCCTGGAAGCTGCGGTCGTGGAGATGGACAAGGGCACGGGGAAGCAGTTGGTAGCTGCAACGGCTGATGCCGCCGCTGCTGCTGGTAATGATGATGATGATGAAGTGCGAAGCGGGCGGAAGGAGAATGCCAAGGATCTGAGACAGGAGGAGAGTGTGGAGAGGCAAGGGCAGGGAGGAGGAGGAGGAGGAGGGGGAGGAGGAGGGCGGGGATAGGAAGCAGGTGTCCCGCATGTGATGCTGAAGATGAAGTTCCTACCGTACAAGCTAAGGACGTTTCTAATACGCAATGGACTCGGCACGCTGCGGAAGAAAGGGCGCCATGAGTACATGGCGTATGCTACCAGGTGGGGGCCGGGGGTGAGGTGCTGGTGTCTGGTTATGCATGTGCATGTGCCAATGTGCATGTGCCATGTGCCATGTAGCCATGTGCATGTGCCATGTGCCATGTGCCATGTGCATGCGCCATGTGCATGTGCATGTGCCATGTGCCATGTGCATGTGCCATGTGCCATGTGCATGGAGTGAGAGTACGCTGCTGAAGAAGGGGCACCATGAGTACATGCGGTAATGCGACCAGGTGGGGGTGGGGGGACATTCATGGGGTGCATGTGGCAGGTGCATGGGTTGGGACCCCGCCTCAGTGCTCCCCTCATCCCTCCACCGTTTTTTCCAAGATTACTATTATTATTACTACTTCAAGCTTGCACAGCAACCTGCCCCCTCCTCACTCTCCAGCTGGACACCTGCTCTCCTCTCCCCCCCATCCCCCCTATCTTCACTGGCGCTGTGTGTGTGGGAGCAGGCTGCTCAAGGTATGGGGCACGTCCCCTGCTGCCACTCACGAGATGACCAGCGCTCTGCCGAGCATGGTGCGTGCACGGTGCAGTGCGGTGCAATCGAGTGTGATGCAGTGCGCAGAGCATGATGCGGAGTTTGGCTTTGTTTTTTTTTGTCAAATTTCTAAAAAAGTGGCGCAGCATGCCGAGTGTTGCGCGCTCGCATATGCCCTTACCTTTCTATGGCCTTCGCACCCCGCACTGGCTCTCCCTCCAACGTTGACTTTTGAGTCGACTCAAAGGCCTTCGCACCCCGCACCGCACTGTCTCTCACTCCAACGTTCCCCTCAACCTTGCCCCTACACCAACTCCTCCGACTTCGCCCTTCCCCTGTGTCCAGTAAGCTGTCCACTGCCTTATACCTCCTCCTTCCTCACAATCCCGCCTCCATTCCGCTCTCCTCCCCCTGTCCCTCCCAGGGCGGACTATGTGCTAGGTCCACCCTCGTCCCCCCAACCCTCCCAAGTCCGTCTCATCCAACTCTACCTCGACTATGCCGAATCCTTTCTTGCTGCCTACGCCAAGAGGGGCGCAGCACAGGCCAAGGCAGTGGGGGGCCGCATGGGACGGGGAAGCAGGGGAAGGGAGTGAGGGGAAGAGAGGGGACGGGGGTGAGGGGATGCGGGGGGAGGAGAGTGGAGGGGAGGGAGGGGGAGCGGAGGGGAGGGGGAAGCAGGGCAAGGGGCTGCTGGTGTTCTTCCCGGGGATCCCTGGTGTGCCAAATCCGCTCTCTCTGAAGCCCTTATGCAGATGATGGGTAGAGGCAGTGGGGCCGGTGGAGGCAGTGATTCAGCTGAGCAGGCATGGACTGGCAGGGAGGGCGAGTCGTCTGCGCAGGGAGCGAGAGACGGGGGGGATGCTTCAGCGGACCCTGTTGTAGGAGCAGAGGCAGGGGCGGTAGAGGAGGAGGATGGGTGGCAGGAGGTGACGAGAGGGAAGGGCAAGGGGAAGAAAGGTGGGAGAGGTGGCGGGGAGAAAGGACCGGGGGCAGGAGGGGGAGGTGGAGGAGAAAAGGGGAGGAAGGAGAGGGGAGAGAGCGACAGGGGGTGAGGGAGGAAGCAAGGAGGGAGGGAAGGGAAGAGGGGAGGTGGAGGAGGGTGGAGGGCCGTTGGGGGATGGGAGGGAATGCTTGCACATTATGGGCGACAAGACAATCGGTGGGTGCATGGTTGCATGGAACATCATCGCACATCGTAACACATCTTCTCCCTTCCTTAGCCTCTGGCGTCCCCCCTTGTCTCTCCATGCCATACTCACGTCTGTCTTGCTTTCTGTCCCTCCCACCTCATCCCAACCCATCCCACTGCATCCCACCGTGTCCCACCGCATCCCACCGGTCTGTACTACGCAGGCAAGTACTGGAAGGTGTTGGGGGCGCGCATGAGGAAGGAGAGGGGGGCGAGGGTGAACGTGCTGGCGGATAAGAATGCGCCCAACGAGGACGTGTGGAACCAGGTGAGCCCCCTACGAGGACGTGTGGAACCAGGTGCGAGCTCTCTTGCTCCTGTGTTCTCATCCTCGCGTGCTCACTTGCTTTATGTGCTCGTGTGCTCACATGCTTTCGTGCTCATGTGCTCATGCTGCGAGCACTTTCTTACTACTTTGACATCCAGATGGAGACCATTCGCGGCACAGGGCTGCCGGCATTTAAAACGTCTCACAACTGCATCAGCTCAGGATTTCCACTCTGTTGCTCTCACCCCATCCTGAAGCCCATGTTTGGCGGCCAGATAGAAGCCACCTGCCACGGCGCGGGACTGCTGGGCTTGGAGTCATGTCAAAACCGCATCAACTCAATTTACCCCCCGTGTTTCTCACACTCCATCCCCCACCTCCGTGTGCCATGCAGATAGAAGCCATTTGCCACGACACAGGGCTGCTAGGCGCGCCTGTTGTGCCTGCCTCGCTCGGTAAGCTGTCTTTTGAGACGTCTCAAAGCCACGACACAGGGCCGATAGGCGTACCTGTTGTGCCTGCCTCGCTCGGTAAGCTGTCCTCCCGGGGAGGGTGATAGGGGGGTTTGAGGGAGGAAAGCATGGGTGTGGGCTGGTGGTGGCGGGGAGTGTGTGGAGGGAGGAGAGGTGGCGAATGAGGGGGGGCAGAGGGAGGTAGAGATTAACGCTGATGTATCCAGGGTTCTTGTTCCTCCCGTTTTGTGAGGTCTGTGTTTCTGGTTTCCTGAAGTCTGAAGCTTGCTGCAATGCAACCTTCCAGGGGATGCAAGCACTGTTGTCACTTGGCAGAGCCCTTTCCCGCACCCCACCCCCCTGCACCGCTCTGCACTGTCCAGGCACACTGCACAACGCTTTCGACTGGCGAGTGCTGGCCGTGTTTCTGTTCCGCGTGATTCAGCGCACCAACCACCCTGTGAGACCCCTTCTCCATACCAAACCTCCTCACAAGAACCTTTGTCTATGTCTGTTGTTCAGGCCTGTAGGCCATCAACTTAGATTCAACTCGACAGAGATTCCCATTCCACCTTGCTTTGAATCAGACCAAGGTGGGTCAGCATTACAATTGCTCCCACTCCCACTCCTCACCACATCCGTCCCTCCTCCCCATTGTCACTCTCTTTGTTCCTCCTCCCCCATCCATCTCATCTCAGGGCGATTTGGATGCCAGCTCACCAGCTCCAGGGCAAGTGGTGCTCAACTTCCATTCGCTCTACACGGCAGACATGTCAGTCCCACCCCGCCTTTGAGAAGAAAAGAAATAAAAAGCCAGCCGTGCCGCACTCCACCCCATGCGCCACCTCCTGTCCCTTGCCATGCCATGCCATGCCATGCCATGCCGTGCCTTGGAAGCTTTGTACTACGAAAATCTTGTCCGCCCACCCTGCCCCGACACCTCCTTGCGTTCACTTATCTCTCCACCTGTCCACCCACCTCCGCCCTTGACTGCTGCAGAACCGGGATGATTTTAAGGGGGAGGTGAAGCAGCGCTTGGCGTGCTTGTGACCATGTCATGCCAACGAGCTTTGCATTGCGTGCTTTGTGTCATGCGCGTGCGTGTGACCCAACCCATGCATCCCCCGCCCTCGACTGCTGCAGAAACCGGGAGGACTTTGAGGCGGAGCTGAAGCAGCGCTTTGGTGTGCTCGTGACCATGCCTGTTGTCAAACCTGACTCGTGAGTTTGTGTGTGCGTGTTTCGTCCGTTTGATTCAATTAGTCACCATTTACTGACCCTGCAATCATGCAAACGCTTGCTCCCCCTCCCCTCTCCTCCTCCCCACCAAACACACGCTCCACCACCACCCCCTTCCCCCAAAACCCATACACTCTTCTCTCCCTCTTATTTTCCCATCTCGTATTCCGGTTCCCTTCGTATTCCGGTTCCCTTCGTATTCCGGTTCCCTTCGTATTCCGGTTCCCTTCGTATTCCGGTTCCCTTCGTATTCCGCCCTTCGTAATTCTTCCCCTGTCTTTCTCGACGCCTCCACCAGCCCTCCACTACCAGACGAGATAGCTGGCGTCATCAAGTCAGGGCACAAGCTGCGGGAAACCATATGGAAGCGACATAAAAGGTGCGGTGTGGTTGTGAGGCAGGCCGCGTGTTTCTGATGTGTCTTAGCTTTTTATCGAGATGGTGCTGACTTTCTCTTGCGCGTGCTCTCATACCACTGGTGTTCCCGACCTCTCCGCTCGTCTTCCCACACTTGCTATGCCTCACACTCCTTGCTCTCCTCTCCCTCACCACCGTCATCCCTCACATCTGTGCCCTTCGCATCCTCACCCGTCCCCCATGACGGTTGCAGCAAGGAGCCTCTGAAAACGCCATGGCAGAGGAGGTGTTGGAGTGGGAGGGGGAGTTGAGAGCGGTGCTGCACAAGCATGCCCACTACCTCACATCCATCCAGCTGCCTCTTGACCAAGTGGTCGCTACAGTCCAAAACCAGCTCCACCAGATCGCTACAGGACAAATCCGGCCACTGGTCACCACCAAGACGAGCTTCCGCAGCATTCGCCTGGCAGCGGTGGTGATTGATCCCGCTGCTGATGTGGCACCGGGCGGCGCTGACGTGGCAACAAGTGGGCGACAGCTATTGCAGACGTTGGAAGAGCTGGCGAGATCTGATTCGTCGGTGGCAGAGTTCTGGAAAAACGGCAGAAGGGCCTCTGAGAAAGAAACTGGACGTGGGTACCAGTGGTGCTGCTGTCGCTGCTGGTGGTGCTAGTGGCGCTGGTGGTGGTGGGGGGTTGGGGTGGCTGCATGTGACTCTGGCCCACAAGAAGGAGCAGGGCGTGCCGGCAGTGGTGGGGTATGCTCCCATGGAGGGGCGTGCAGTGACGGTGCTGGCAACGGCGCTGCTGTTTGATCAACATGTGGCTGCACTCGCCGTGGAGCTGAGGGAAGGGGAGGAGGGGGAGGCGGTTCGCTCGCTTAATCCGTTTGCGCACGTCACTGTAAGTAGTGTGGGCACCTGGGGTGTGTGGTTGTGTTTTTCTTTTGTTCCTTACCCACCAGTTCTCCTTTACCAATTTGATCACTACGATACGAGTCCCTTTCTCACCCAGTACCATTTCTTTTCTCAAACCCGTGCAAGCAGTTATGGCAGGCGGAAGGGGCAAAGGCCGTTCAAATCGCTGGACCTGCCCAGTGCAGTAGAGCGAGGGGAGGCCACGCGTGTGGCCTTCCTTCAGCCAATACAGCTGATAGGAACAGTGAAATTGATATGAATAGCTCATCTGAGCAATAATTATTGGATGTTGAATCTATATATAAGCATATCGGAGGTGGCCATGGGAGTGTAGGAAAAATATGAGACGTGACTCGATACAGCAGCATTCCTAATTGCGAACACCCTAGAAGTGCTGAACTCTCACGAATAAAACACTTCCTTGCTCAGAGCCATTCACACCGTGTCGCGACTGCGCTTACTGCTATAACTCCTTCGCACGTCCCACTATTCTCGAGCGTTATTCCGTCGCGCCCTGCCCACAATCGCCAACAATCCCCGTCGAAGGCCTCCTGGTCGCGCCCCTTCCGCGCGCCCCCATCATTTCTTTGCTGCTGGCGAGGCCCAGACCTCTGCTGCTGCGCGCTTTCCGCCACGTTTTGCTTTGCTTCTCCTCGCGCTGAGCTTCCGCCTACTCTGAGCTTTCCCATTGCGCTTCCGCCTGCTCTGCGTGCCCCCGTGCTCCGCGCGCCCGCGGGCATGCAGGGAAATGAGGGCGCGGAGGGACCTTCCGGCGGAGGCGGGGGAGCCGGGCGGGCGAAGGGGAAGGCGGCGGCGGAGGAGTTGGGCGGGTCGAAGAAGAAGGCGGGAATCTTCCTGCGAGAATGTGAGCGGGTGGAGGATGGGGGAGAAGGAAGGGGGGGAAAGAAGGAAGGCGGAAGGGAGATTGAGCTTGCACGCTTCATGCATCTTTCCATGCACCGTCACTGTTCACCCCACACGCAGTTTCATTGAACGTACTAACTCCTTCATGCTGCTCCCATGTGCTCTCCCACGTGCTCCCACGTGCTCCCATGGCTCCTTGGTGCGTCCACCCATCCGAACCGCTCTGTGTTGCGTCGATGGTGCGGCAGTGCGGCTCATGATGTACGGCTTTGGAGATGATCCCGAGGTGAGCTCGTGTGTTGTTTGTGATGGTAATCCCGAGGTGAGCCATCTGAACCGCTCTGTGTTGTGTCGGTGGTGCGGCAGTGCGGCTCATGATGTACTGCTTTGGGGATGATCCCGAGGTGAGCCCTGGCTCTGTCGGTGATGGTAGTCCCGAGGTGAGCCCCTGCGCTGTCTGCTTTCACGTGGAGTTCGTGTGCTGTCAGTCATGGTAATCATTGCTCGAGGTGAGCTCATCTGCTGTCGGTGGTGGTGATCATTGCTCCTACACGCTTGTGGTATGCTTCTGAACCATCAACATCAGCATAAGCATCAGCATCAGCATCAGCATATCAGCATCAGCATATCAGCATCAGCATCAGCATCAGCATCAGCATATCAGCATCAGCATCAGCATCAGCATCAGCATCAGCATATCAGCATCAGCATCAGCATCGCCATCACCATGAGATGACCCACCACCCACAGCAGCCATTCTGAGAGGACACAGCCAGCAAGTATCGCCTCATCTCGCGCGCTCTCTCCCTTTCATTGCATGCTGCATTTCGTGAGCCATCAGCCCCTGCCAGAGTCAGTGGGGCTGGTGGGGGAGATGGTCACACACACCCTCGCACTCCCGCATCTCTCTCTAACCCCCCTCACCACAATCATTTACGTGCCCTCACGTGTCACACCAGCCCCTGGCGGAATCGGTGGAGCTAGTGGAGGAGATAGTGATCGAGTACATCACGGACGGTGCAACCCTCACACTCCTTGATCTCTATCTCTAACTCACTCTCTCAATGTGTTTCCCATCAGCCCCTACCCGAGTCAGTGGAGCTAGTGGAGGAGATAGTGATCGAGTACATCACTGACCTCGTGCATCGGGCTCAGGAGGTGGCAGCCAGGCGAGGCCGCCTCACCACAGAAGACGTGCTCTTCCTCATCCGCAAGGCCAGCTCCCTCACTTTTACCCTCCCTCTCTCACTCACTCACTCACTCACTCACTCACTCATTTACTCATTCACTCACACTCTCTCACTTTTCCAACAAAATTTCTCTCATCGGCTCTCTCATCCTGCCCTACTCATCCTCTCAAGCTCATCCGCTCTCAATCTCACACATCCTCTCTTGCACGTCCCCCCTCACTTGCTCTCCCTCTCCTCATTCATTGTCTCTGCTGCTTCCCCTCGCCACCACGTCTCAACGTGGGTTCTGTGCTGTGTGCTGTGTGCATGCCAATATATCTCCACTATGGCAGGACCCACGCAAGTTTGCAAGAGCCAGGGAGTTACTGGCAATGAACGTGGAGCTGAAAGAAGCAAGAAAGGCATTCCAAGAGGAGCAATAACCTCTTGTGCACACACTCGGTCACTTAACCGTTGTATTAGCAAGCAGAGGCTGTCTGCTGCAAAATAACACATATGACGATAAGTCAATGTCAGGCAATAAGGCTAACTACTCTGTAGAGTGGCGCTCCGGAGCTTCCTAGTTAGCAATGCATTTTTTTAATTATTCAGTACAGGTGCCCGCCTAGCCCCCGTGCAGTGTGGAGATGAAAGTGACTCTATCTCCATCCTCCACAGTAGATTCTAGGTTGCCCGTGAGCTCCCAATCCACATCGTTGATCAGCACTAGCACACCCGGTCGCCTGCACAGCAGAGAAGAGAGTAACCAGACGAGCATCGTAGCGGAGAGGCAGAGGGAGAGGCAGAGGGAGAGGCAGGGAGAGAGGGATGAGATGGGTGTGTAAGAGGGAGAGGATGCAAAGAGGCACCGTGGACTCTATATTGCCAGTGAGCTCCCAATCCACATCGTTCATCAGCACTAGCACACCTGGTCGCCTGCACAGCAGAGGGTAACCAAACACGGATGGTGAGGAAGAGGCAGACATGAGGGACGAGATGGATGTGTATGGTAAAAGGGAGAGGTTCCCAAGGGCCGCCGTGGACTCAAGATTCTAGATTGCCTGTGAGTGCTTGTGCTGCAGCACACAGACAGTGGCACACAGGCAGTGCTTGTGCTGCAGCACACAGACAGTGTGGCACACAGGCAGTGCTTGTGCTGCAGCACACAGACAGTGTGGCACACAGGCAGTGCTTGTGCTGCAGCACACAGACAGTGTGGCACACAGGCAGTGCTTGTGCTGCAGCACACAGACAGTGTGGCACACAGGCAGTGCTTGTGCTGTGAGCGGAGTGTGTGACTCACACGGTGGGCCCCTTGAGAAACATCTCTGGTCGCTCCTTGAGCATGTGCACTCGCATCCACGCCAGCAGCGGCGCCATGGATAGCTGTTGTGAGGGTGAGAGGTTGGGTGGAAAGGGGGGTTGGGGGTGTGTGCTCTCGCATTTATGTCAGCAGCGGCGCCATGCATAGCTGTTGTGAGGGTGGGGGATAGGGGGAGTGAGGAAGGTGCGGAGGGAAGGAGCGAGGCATTCTTGGATTGGAATGATACTGAAGGTGGTAGTCCTTGCGTGAATGCATGTGAGTGTGCGTTCGGACTACTGATTGTGAGAGATGTGCATGCACTTCTGAACTGATAATGCATGCGGATGTGAGTGCGCTAGCTACACCCCACCTGACCATCCTCCCCCGTTACAGTCACATCCACGCTCTGCTTCTTCTCATCCGCCGAACAGCAGCTCCAAGCCTCCGCTGCGGGATGGGGGAACGGGAGAAGCGGGGAGAATGGAGGAACGCGGGGATAATGAGCGACGCGCGGAGGCGGGGGAACGCGGGGAGAAAGGGGAACGCGGAAATGTGAGACGGGGCAAGTCAGGGGAGCGGAAGAGGAGATGGAGGATGCGCAGCGAGCCAACGACAGAACGACGTGTCCGCCTTACACGGTGAGCGGGAAACCTGGCGGGACATGCGGCGACCCACCTGAACTCGATCTGCAACCGCACCATGCGGGCAGCCCTTGCCGCACCGCCACTGGATTAACGCGTCCCCCGCGCCGCGTCCGAGAAATCTACTCCGAGACTACAGCGCACGTTTCAGCCTGTTCTGCCTGAGTGCTCGAGTCGCGTTCCGAGGCGCTCTGTTCGTTGGAGGACGGCGCGACTCTCTATCAGGGTTTGAAGCAACGGTTAGTATCGATTAGATTTCCCGTATCTAGTCCTCGCCAGTGGCAGTAGCGCGTAGTGCCACGTCAGACGCGACGGAAAATAAAGCCTGTTGATTGTCGAATGGGGAGGTAGGCGCTTTGGTGGATTGGATTGAAGGACAGGGCTTGAGAGTTCGGAACAGCTTTTTGGTAGCACCGAGACAGTTTCGGTGTATGAGGCAAATAAATTCACCACGAAGAAGTTAATAGCGAATCAAGAAGCACTCTCAATTCGCCCCGTCGGGACTCGGAATCTCACCAGACCAAATTTCTTCACTTGAGCCCAACCCTGTCTCCGCTGTTACTAATGCTACTGCTCAGCACAGCATCGGAACATGCGTCTCGTCACTCCCGTCCTGTCATTCTCGACGGTGAAAGATTCGCGATAGCTCGCACTCGCGGCCCGTGCCTGCTCGCAGGGCAGCTTGTGAGTCGCATCGAAAGTTACCCCGTGCCTGCTCGCGAAGCGCGGAAATGATTTGTTTCGAAGCGTGTCCGACACAGCCCTGTAACCGCCGCGTTCGTCCCTTGGCCAGTGCAATCGAGTCGCCACTATTTCGCAAACATCGTCGCCCTGGAACCGTTGCCTAAAATCGTTGCCCGGTGAACCGTCGCCGTCGCACACCATGTCGCACGGTCTGTGCGCCTGCCTCCTCCCTCTGTCCGTGCGCCCGCACTCTCAAGCCCTTCCCCCAGCGCCCAACCTCTGCGGTTTGCGCCCGCTGACTCCGCCCACCGCCTTGCGGAGGCGGGATCTGGGGGGACTCGGCGGAGATTCCCCCAATCTGCCGTTCGCGGGGGAAGAATCCGGCGGAGCGGGGCTTTTGGCAGCGCGCGGGGCGTTTTTGCGCGGGAGGGTTGCGCGGAGAGGGCCCGCCCCCGCGCGATCGCTGGGCGCGCGGGGGAGCGGGGGGGTGCACGGGGGAATGCGCAGGCGGAAACGACGAGTGTGGACCCGGCGTGGGGAAGAGGAGGAGGCGGAGAAGGGGAGGGGCGGAGGCGGAAGCGATACGGATGCGAATGATTTGGGTGGGGTGTACTTGCGGAGAGGTGTGGGAAGGGGGAAGGAGGGGGGAGAGAGAGAGAAAGGGAAAGGAGAACGGGAGAGAGGGGAAGTAGTGGAGGGAAAGAGGGGTGGCATGGGGGGTGCGGGTGGAGGGAGGGATGGAAAAGAGAGCGAGAAGGAGAGGAGTGATAGTAAGGAGGAGGGCGCAAGGGTATCTAGAAATGGGTTGGCTGGATCAAAGGGGACGGCGAATCCGAGAGGGGAGAGACGGAACGGAATGGCGGGAGGGGGGAATCAGAGGGAGAGAGTAAGAGAGGGAGTCGAGGGATTAGAGATTTCTGAGGCGGTTGGGATGAGGGGCGAAGGCAGAGGAACGAGAGGGGTGAGAGGGGCAACAGGTGCAACAGTCACAACAGATGCAAGAGGGACAGGGGAGGAAGCAGAGGGAGTGAGGGGGGGGTGCTGGGAGGAGTGTGGAGGGCGGGGCAGGGGAGGTGGTGGGTGCTGTTGCAGGCACTGTTGTTGAAGCTGTGATGGGCGTTACTGGTACTGTCAAGGATGTGACGGAATCAGTGACAGAATCCGTCTTGGATACAGTGACAGACATGACTGAGACAGTGAAAAGACGTGAAGGATAGCGTGGAGGAGACTATAAAGGGTACGGTGCGGGAAGTGGCAGAAACAGTAAAGGACGCAGTAGAAGGCACTGTAAAAGATGTGACAAAATCGGTCATAAAGGAAAAGGAAGAGGAGGAGGAAGACATGAGTCCCATGCGAATGCTGCTAGGAGCGAGTGAGGAGAGAGGGAGAAAGGCACAATCCCAACTAGGAATAATCCAGCACCGTCCCTCCATAGTCTCTCTCCTCTACAACCTCTATTCACACATGCTCAAACAGCCGCCTCTTGTCTTCTCTCTTGCTGTCTGCTCCGCCCCGCTCCTCCTCTCCCTGCTCTTCACCTTGCTCTACCTCCCGGACCTGGATGGCTTGGTGGTGGAGGAGACGCTCCTAACCTACCTCCAAACCTCCGTCGCAGCTTCGGCAGCCAGTGCTCTGGAGGACGAGTCCTTCTTTGCAGGTCCGGCAATGGCTATGGCTCGGGGCATGGGATCAGCTGTGGAGCCGGCAGGAGCGGCAGCAGCAGCAGCAGCAGCAGAAGCAGGTTCGTCTGCACTTACAACGCTGGGAGCAGCAGCAGCAGAAGCAGCATGGTCGTCTGGAGCAACAGCAGTGGAAGGAGCAAGAGCAGCAGGAGCAGCAGCAGGAGGGGGGGGGAGGAGGGGGAGCGGTTGTTACAGGGCTGGCAAGCACAGGAGCATTCAGAGCTCCAGCCACAGCAGCAGCAGCGGCAGCAGCAGCAAAGGAAGCAGCATCAGGCGGCCTATTCAACGTCGTCGACGGCTCTCAAACCCTCGGCGACGCCGTGCGTGCTCTCGAGCAATCCAACATCTTCCGCCTGGGTCCCGCCGGGATCATCCCAGGGGGATGCGCGTGGGGGATTTTCCAAGTGCTCATGTTCTCGCTCTCGCTCTCCACAGGGCTAGAACCGGCTCTAGCACCGGCGTCGCCATAACGCGCTCGTGGTTGCGAATGTGAATGCTCTAGTGGCTCAGCTGCTGTTTGTGTTTCTCAGTGGAGCGGTTTTCGCGAGGCTCACCCATCCGGTGGATCCGATTTTGTGCTCCAAAATCGCCTGCATCACCCCTCCCTTACAGCAGCCACAGCAGCAACAGCAGGGTGTGAACGTGCTTGGAGGTGCAGCTGGGGGATCGGGGCAGTCCCCGCCGGTTCGCTACCCTCCTGCTGCCCGTTCACTCTCCCGCAGCATCAGCAGTGCCAACTTTGGAGGCAGCGCAGCCTTCGCCGCCTCAAGTAGTTTCCCAGCTGCTGCTGGTACTGCAGTGGCAGGAGGAGGAGGAGCAGAAGGAGGCGGGTTTGGCACGGGTGGTGGTGGGATGGGGGGCGGGAGGGGGTGTGAGCGCATGCTGCTGGTGCGGTATGTGCTGGCGGGGCCACAGCCGTGTGAGCTGGTGGATGTGAAGGTGGAGCTCACTCTCAAGCACAACACCCTCTCCTGCACCGGCCGTTTCTTTCGCCAAGTGGATCACCTTAAGCTGGTAAGCATTGTGGTGCTGCTGCATGAAGGTTGAATAAAGGTGTGAGCTGGTGGATGTGAAGGTGCAGCTCACTCTCAAGCACAACACCCTCTCCTGTACTGGCCGGTTCTTCCGGCAAGTCGACCACCTAAAGCTGGTACGGATGGTTGTTGGTGCATGATGGTTGAATGAAGGTATGAGCTGGGTGGATGTGAAGGTGGGGATCACTCAAATGTATGGCAGTGCTTGTTCCTTCAATTTGAGAGTCTTCAGTCATGTTGCCGCTGCCAGCTGCTACCCCATCCACATGAAGGTGTGATGTGCGAGCATGGTGATGTGATTTTCACAGTGCTGCTGGTTGATCATGCTGTCACCTGCTACCCTTCCCTGCCATTCCACCACCACCAGGTGCGGTCAGAGGACTCATACCAGCGCTACGGCATGACAGTTCGGCACCTGATTGACGAGTCCAGTCCGTTGTACGGCCGGTCTCGAGATGACCTCTGCCTCGTCAACGCCCAGCTCAGCCTCGCTGTCGTGAGTCAAGCACAGTCCACAGATGTCAATGGAATCTGTAGTGAGGTATTTTGTGCTCCTAATGGCCTCCTCTTGTTGGAAGATCTTGTTTTGCTCCCTCTCCTTTGCTCAACAAGCCCCATCGCATCCTTTTCTACCTAAATCCCTGTTAAACCCGAAACCCTGACCCATTCTTGCCTTGCCTTGCATGCACCCATTTGTCTCGTGTCTGTCGCACCCCCTTGTTTCCTTGAGTGCAGATTGGCATGGAGCGCGCGTCCATGCAGCCAGTGTTCCATGTGGAGGACTACTTTGTAGCAGACGAAGACGTCATATGGAATGCAGATTTTGAGGATATGGTGTACCGCGATGACAAGAATAGACTTCTAGTGGACCACAGGAAGATCAGCAACTGGGTAGGGATTGAACTCTGAACGAAGCAGCCTGTACAGGGAGCATGACTAAGGTACTGTTTGAAGGGCAAGCTGACATGATGGCACATTGCCATGCCCTGCAATCCCCACGAAGTTGTGGGGTTGTTTTTGCTGTATCAGGTAGAGTAGAGGCATGTCTGTCAGCACAGCACTCATGTCCAAACTCCTGCCACTGTGTTTCTATTTGTAAGCCAATGGAGAGATGCCCAGTCTCAGTTCCTACCTCATGTGTCAAGGAGGCTGTCCTCTTGTTCAGTCAGCTGCATGGCGAAGTGACCATTCTTGAGTCTCCCATGCAGTACCTTTGGAATGCCCGGAGCTGTATGGGCGGAAGAGGTTACACGAACGTTCATGACTTCGGGGGCAGGCCGCAACCAGCAGATCACAGACGCTCAAGGGCAAAGGTCACAGAAGCTTTACAATTGCACAGGGAAAAATGTGCAAATTAGTCACACTATCCATTGTGAAATATCACATAAATAACCCCACCTAAGATCCCAGGTTCCCAATCCTAGCTTAGGGCTGGAAGTTGCTGTCCAAGAAGCCGTTCTCGACCAAAACCTGCTCCCTCTTAGCCTTGTCCAAATCCGAGTCAACCATCATCGCCACCAGCTTCTTGAAGTCCACCTCAGGCTTCCACCCAAGCTTTTCCCGGGCCTTAGCCGAGGACCCGCGCAGGTTGTCCACCTCGGACGGGCGGAAGTAGCGGGGGTCAATCTCGACGTACTCCTTCCAGTCCAGGTCAACGTAGCCAAAGGCTGCGATCAGGAATTGCTCCACAGTGAATGACTCCTCAGTGGCCAGCACGTAGTCATCGGGCTGCTCCTGCTGGAGCATCAGCCACATTCCCTGTAAAATCAGCAAGGAATTCATCAGCCAGGACACTTTTCGTTAGGTGCTGTTCACTTAACTATGCGATCTCAGTTATTTTATGTTATGTAAGGGAAGAAACCGGTGTAATAAAGAAAAAAACGGGAATGGAGGAAGAGGAAGCAGTTCCGACAAATGGTTTAATCGCAAACAGGTTCTTTAATCGCAACGGGAAGGGTAAGGGATATAGAATGAACAGTTGTCTTACCTTGACGTAGTCGCCGGCAAAACCCCAATCACGGGAAGCCTTCAGGTTGCCAAGGTACAGCTTCTTTTGAAGCCCAACCTTGATGCGACCAACAGCGCGGGTGATCTTCCTCGTCACGAAGTTCTCACCACGCCTCGGGCTCTCGTGGTTAAAGAGAATACCGTTGCAGGCGAACATGCCGTAAGCCTCGCGATAGTTCACGGTGTACCAGTGAGCAGCCACCTTGGACACGGCATAAGGCGACCGGGGGTGGAAGAGAGTCTTCTCGTCTTGAGGAGGGGGGGTAGCGCCGAACATTTCTGAAGATCCAGCCTGGTAGTACTTAACGGTGCGTCCGGAGTTCTCAATGTGGTTGCGGACAGCCTCGAGCAACCGAAGCGCTCCCGTACCGACGACATCGGCGGTGTACTCGGGGTTCTCGAAGGAGACACCGACGTGGGACTGAGCACCGAGGTTGAAGACCTCATCTGGCTTAATCTGGTCAATCCAGTGACGAAGAGCGGTAGCGTCGGACAAGTCACCGTAGTGAAGCTTCAGCTTAGCCGAAGACACGTGAGGATCACGGTAGATGTGGTCGAGACGCTGGGTGTTGAAGTTGGAAGAACGACGGATGATACCGTGGACCTCGTAGCCCTTGGAGAGCAGAAATTCTGTCAAGTAAGATCCATCTTGGCCAGTAATACCGGTGATGAAAGCCTTCTTGACAGGAGCTTCGGAAGCCATGGCTGAACACGGGAAAGTCAGTCAGATGCGGATATTACTACCAAGAAATTGCAAATGAGATGCTCACAGATGTTGGAACTTCGCTAAAAATGCCTTCAGAAATTGCTGGTTTCTGAAGGTAAGAAATTGTGAGAGTCTGATGGATCACTCTCCGATTATTATGCAGTGAGGGTTGCAGGTTCGACAATGGTGGTTGGTGGGAATCCAGGTTCGGAATCTCTACCAACTCCGTCCTCGTGGCAATAGCAGGAACCTCATGTGGTTCGGATCTCCACCAACCAGGCAACGAATGTCTCCCCGTGTCGTCGGAGTGCTGTCACGGTAAGGACGAAGTGGCGTCGCTGATTGGACATCTGCTGCTGGTCAGGTGCGCTCCAGTGCCAGGTGGGTTTGTCGATGGTTATCAAATGTCGCAGGTGATGTGGTTTTTCGTCATGAAAAATCATCGCCAAAATAGGTCTGGTAACGGTGCGGTCTGGTTACTTCACGACGAATAACGCGGACGGATAAACAATACACACTGAATCGAAAAATATCAGTACATATTTTTTCAGCCATTTGATATTTATGCTGCAACACCAAGCCTTTCCTGTTCACACCAGATGTGCCAACTGAGAGCAAGTAAGTGGTCATTGGGCAACATTTTTATGCTGCTTCGGTATTCACAGCAGTGTGACCGCTTATGTCAATGGTTTTGTTTGGAGGTAAGAAATGATACCAGCATGCGTGCACTCTCTGTTTGCTGTGCCATCAGAATCCATCCGGCGGAATTATCGCAGGGATACCGGTATCTTATGGTATGGGCAGGCTTGCACACGTCAATTACAGTAACTAACATCTGGGGCAAGCCCTGCCCAATAACTTGTACTGTCAAACAGAGTACAGTACTAACGTCATCCCTAGGGATTATCACAAACCACACTCGCAAATCTCCATGAAACCCATACCCCCCACGCGCAGCACACCCCTTTACCGACTCACTGCCGCCGCAGCAGCAGCGGTGGCAGCAGCATCAGCAATAGCCTCCTTGCTCCCAGCAACATAATAATCCTGCAGGGCCTTCATCTCGATCGGCGACTCAATCAACCCGCGGATGGCCTTGACGGTGGCACGAGCAGAGGCCATGGTGGTGATGATGGGCACCTTCTTGCCCAGCGCTGTGCGGCGCAGCAGCCGCCCGTCCTTCTGGTCCAGTGCATCGCCCGCTGAGGTGATCACCAGCAGCTGGATCTGCCCGTTGGACACCAGATCGCCTGGTGGGGGGGAGGAAAACAAGGGAGAGGATTGCATTGCTCAGTGATGAGGGCATATGGAGGGGTGAGGGCAAATGGAGTCAAAGGAACAATCGAGACCACGATGAGAAGAGTGCAGAACCAAGACTCGCGCCCATCTCACGCATACCTGATGCACACTTCACTCACAGATCTCAGGGCACACATGCATGCAAGGCACTCACCAGCGTGGGGGCGGGCCCTCGTGCAGCTTGAGAACTCTCTCCACCTCGATGCCCGCATCCTCCAGCACATTGGCCGTGCCCTCAGTGGCCAGTATCTTGAACCCCAGATCCACAAAGCTCTTCGCCACCTCCACGCCGCTCTCCTTGGTCAGATCGTTCAGGCTCACAAACACCGACCCGCCAGTTGGCAGCCGCTGATTCGCCGCCACCTGCGCCTTCAAAAACGCCTTCTCAAAAGTCGCATCCAGCCCCATAACCTCTCCAGTGGACCGCATCTCGGGCCCCAGCAGCACGTCACAGCCGGGGAACTTGTCAAAGGGCAGCACGGCTTCCTTGACGGACACGTGGTTGGGGATCACCTCCTTGTCGAAGCCCAGCTCTTGCAGGGTCTTCCCCGCCATGACGAGCGAGGCGTACTTGGCGAGCGGGTGGCCAATGGCCTTGGCCACGAAGGGCACGGTGCGGGAGGCGCGGGGGTTGGCCTCAATGATGTAGACCTCGCCTGTTGGCATCACTGCGTACTGACAGTTCATCAGCCCCACCACGTTCAGCCTGTGGGACAGGGGGTGAGTGGGGGGAGGGAGGGGTTGAGAGCAGGTGGTGGCATGTGCATGGTGCGAGGGTTGACTTGGACTATGTTGAGAATTCTAAAAAAAAGCGTGGTGTGTGCGCCAACGCCTGACAGACATCACAAGGCCGCCCCATGACAGGCAGGTGCGTTTCGACTGCTGAGTTGGCTCACAAGTGACCAGTCCAAGTGACCAGTCACTGCCCTGTCCCATTCCATGGCAACCAACTCACTTGCGAGCAAGGCGGGTGGTCCAGTCGCGGATGGTGGCTAGAGCATCCTCTGAGATGGTCTGAGTGGGTAGGGAGCACGCAGAGTCGCCCGAGTGCACGCCTGCCTGCTCGATGTGCTCCATGATGCCGCCTATCGTCACTGCACCCGTGCTGTCCGCCAAGCAGTCCACATCCAACTCTGTGGCGTTCTGAAAGATGCAAGGGCGGGGGTAATGGGGGAGGGAGAGAGGGGTGCGGGATGAGGAGTGCACGCCCGCCTGATCGATGTGCTCCATGATGCCGCCTATGGTCACTGCACCCGTGCTGTCCGCCAGGCAGTCCACATCCAACTCCGTGGCGTTCTGGAAAATCAGGTTGTATAAGGAGGGGGGGAATGGAGGGTTGAGTCATGGGGCTACACGGATGAGGGGGGAGCACCCATCATCCCAGAACCACCACCAGCCATAGACTCATCATCTCATGCAACCATCACACCACTCACCGCGAGGTATTTGTCAACCAGCACGGGGCGTTCAGAGTCCACCTCGACAGCCGTCACCAGACACTTGTGCAGCACCGCGTCGTTATACACTACCACCAAGCCTACCACCACCAACCCCACCAGCACCAGATTATGCAAGCACCCTCCCACTCACCGCAAGGTACTTGTCAACGAGAACGGGCCTCTCAGGGTCCACCTCAACAGCCGTGACCAGGTACTTCTGCAGCGCCGCGTCGTTATAACACAATCTCCATGGCCCGCCCTCCCAGCACATACGACGGCCGCACCACCACGGGATACCCCACGCGCTTCGCCACCGCCAGCGCATCCTCCTCGCTGCGTGCAATCCCCCCGGGCGGCTGGTTGATCCCCAGCTCGTTCAGCATCGCCTCAAACCGCTTCCTATCCTCCGCCGCGTCAATCGAATCTGGAGACGTCCCCCAGATGCGCACCGGGCCGGCCCCGCTCGCCGCCTGCAGCTGCGTCTTCTCAAGATACCTCTGGATCGGCACGGCCAGCTTCAGAGGCGTCTGCCCTCCGAACTGCACGATGATCCCATCGGGGCGCTCCAGGTTGATCACGTTAATCACATCCTCCACTGTCAGCGGCTCAAAGTAGAGCCGGTTGGACGTGTCATAATCCGTAGAGACGGTTTCAGGGTTGCTGTTCATCATGATTGTTTCGAACCCTGCGGCCTGCAGCGCGAACGACGCGTGGCAGCAGCAGTAGTCAAACTCAATCCCCTGCCCAATGCGGTTCGGCCCACCGCCGAGAATGAGCACCTTGCGCTCCGCATCCGGCTGGCCCTCGTTTTCCTCATCGTACGACGAGTACTGGTACGGCGTCATCGCTTCAAACTCCGCCGCGCAGGTGTCCACACGCTTGAACGCCGGCACCACGCCCAGCTCCAGCCTGTAGCTCCTCACCTCCTCCTCCGTGCTCTTTAGCGCGAATGCATCTGCCGGTCGCTGTACCCCCTGCGCTTAATCTGCTGCATGTCATCCTTGGTGAGCGCGCGCAGGTTCCCATCCAGCTTCCCCATAAAATCCTCCACTTCCAGCAACTCCCCCATCTGGGACAGATACCACGGGTCCATGTTGGTCAGCTGCTGCACCTGCCGCTGGCTCATGCCGCGCTTCATCGCAGCATAGATGGCGTACATGCGGTCGGGGTTGGGCACGCGCATCGAGTATTTCAGGTCGTCCAGGGACCACTCCAGCTGCTTCACCGGCTCGCACCCCCACCCCCAGTGGCCGGTCTCGAGGGACCGGAGGGCCTTCTGGAAGCTTTCCTGGAAGGTGCGGCCGATGGCCATGGCCTCGCCGACGGACTTCATTTGGGTGGTGAGCGTGGGCTCGGAGCCTGGGAACTTCTCAAAGGCGAAGCGCGGGATCTGTGGGAGGGGGGCGGCGTGTTGCGGAGGGGGAAAAGGGGAGAGTGGGAGAGAATGTGAGTTAGGCGAAGCAGGAAGGGAGGAATGCGGGGGGAAAGGCAAGTGAGAGAGTAGGGGTGAAGGGAGGGAAAAAGGGCCGGCGCGAGCACAGAGGAGCGCGAGCCTAGAGTGCCTCAAGAACCTCCCCCACCTTGGTCGAGTGTGTACCCAACAGAGAGCTTGGCGGCCATCTTGGCGATGGGGAATCCCGAGGCCTTGGACGCCAGCGCGGAGGAGCGCAGAGGAGTGGAGGGGAGTGGGGGCGAGAGAGCAGAGGGGAGCTCACCTTGGTCACGACATAGTCAATCGAGGGCTCAAAGCTAGCCGGGGTCTTCTTGGTGATGTCGTTGGGAATGCGATCGAGCGTGTACCCCACAGAGAGCTTGGCAGCCATCTTGGCGATGGGGAAGCCCGTGGCCTTGGAGGCTAGAGCCGAGGAGCGCGACACACGCGGGTTCATCTCGATGACGACCACCTCGCCGTCCTTGGGGTTGATGGCGAACTGCACGTTGGAGCCCCCGCACTCCACTCCGATCTCGCGGATGATCGCCACTGAGTAGTCGCGGAGGCGCTGCGGGAGGGGGAAGAAGGAAACGAGGGGGAGGGATGAGGATTGGTGGCGTGCAGAACGCCCTCCTGCCCCGTTGGTGGCGGGCAGGAGCAGATGCTCACCACGCTGTCCGCCAGGCCAGGCCCCTCCCTTCCCCATGCCCATACCCTGCCTCTCCTTTCCCTGAAGCCCTTCGCCCCTGCCCGCCTATCGCCCTCACCTGGTACTCCTTGTCGGTGAGAGTCTGCGCAGGAGCGACGGTGATGAAGTCGCCGGTGTGCACGCCCATGGGGTCGATGTTCTCGATGGAGAAGATGCTCACCACGCTGTCCGCCAGGCCCCTCCCTCATGCCCTGCCCATGCCTCCCTCCCATTCCCTGCCAGGTGAACCCAGCCCGCCCACCATCCCTTCCTCTAGCCCTTACCTGGTACTCCTTGTCAGTCAGGGTCTGAGCGGGAGCAACGGTAATGGAGTCGCCGGTGTGCACGCCCATGGGGTCGATGTTTTCAATGGAGCAGATGATCACCACGTTGTCCGCCAGGTCGCGCATCACCTCCAGCTCGTACTCCTTCCACCCCAGCAGCGACTTGTCGATCAGCACCTGAGAAATCACGAGGGGTGCATGCAACGCAAGGATGTGTCAGTCAGTGCACCTAGCAGTACGTGTGCGCATCGAATCACCTCGAGCTCGTACTCCTTCCACCCCAGCAACGACTTGTCGATCAGCACCTGGTGGGGGGGAGGCAGTGAGGGGTGTAGACGAACATGAGGGGGAGAACCTGCGGGAGGGGAGACAGGCAGCGGAGGGAGGAGGGAGGGTGGGCGCACATGAGGGCGCATGAGGGCGCACGCAAGGGTATGGTATGGTTGCATGTCGGCATACCCACCAGCACAGATAGCGAAGCACCCATGACAGGAGGCCCAGGAGGGGCACTTAAGGTAAAATGCTGCCCCATCAACCCGTGACCCGTGACGTGGCACTGACCTGTGACGCGGCACTGACCTGTGACGTGGCACTGACCTGTGACGTGGCACTGACCTGTGACGTGGCACTGACATGTGACGTGGCACTGACATGTGACGTGGCACTGACCTGTGACGTGGCACTGACATGTGACGTGCCACTGACCTGTGACGTGGCACTGACGTGTGACGTGGCACTGACGTGTGACGTGGCACTGACGTGTGACGTGGCACTGACATGTGACGTGGCACTGACCTGTGACGTGCCACTGACATGTGACGTGCCACTGACCTGTGACGTGGCACTGGCGCTGAGCCCGGCCTTGCAGATGGTTTCGAACTCCTCCTCGTTGTACGCGATACCGCCTCCAGACCCGCCCAGCGTGAACGCCGGCCGGATGATCAGCGGGTAGTCGCCAATGTAGCGCGCGATGTCGAAGCACTCCTGCACGCGAGGGAAGAGGGGAGGGGGGAAGGAAAGGGGGAGGAGGGGGGTGAGAGGGCGAGGGAAGGAGGGGGGAGGGAATGGGAAAGAGACATGACATGGGCAGATAAGTAACAAGTATTCAATGGTGTAGCTGTAACAAGTATTTAATTTAGTCGCTGTTTCTGCAACAGCACCACCTCACCTGCACCGCCTGCACGCGATCCCAGCATTTCAAGCGCCGGCGACAATTCTCTCCCCCCACCGTCACCGCTTCGCACCCACCTGCAGCGTGTTGGCGGTGCCGGATTTGGGACTCTTAATCACGAGCTTGGTCAAGGCGCGCTTGAACAGGTCGCGGTCCTCCGCCTTGTCAATCGCCACCACCACCTCTGACCATCTCCCACCCACCAGCACCGCTTTGAACCCACCTGCAGCGTGTTGGCAGTGCCGGACTTGGGGCTCTTGATGCCAAGCTTGTCCATGGCGCGTTTGAACAGGTCGCGGTCCTCCGCCTTGTTGATGGCGTCCAGCTTCGCGCCGATCAGCTCCACGCCGTACTTGTCGAGCGTGCCGCGCTCCGACAGCGCCACCGCCAGGTTCAGCGCCGTCTGCCCGCCCATGGTGGGGAGCAGCGCGTCGGGGCGCTCGTTGGCAATCACCTGATGGTGGGGTCGGGAACGGGCGGGTGACGGGTGGAACGGGGGAGCATGGGATGGGGGAATGGGATGCGGAGCGTGCCCGCGCATTTGCCGCCAGCAGCGCGTCGGGGCGTTCGCTCGCGATCACCTGGTCGGAGAGCGGCGGTTGAGAGCGACAGGGTGAGCGGGATGGGGATCGTGTAGGGCGACGAGGGAAAGGGAATGTGTAGCCGAAAAAGACGGTGGATCGGGGAACAACCGGATTGGGAATGGGGGGGGACACATGCACGGATAGTCGAGCTGCAGAAGCACGATCGTCAATAGCTTGAGCGAGGGAGGGAAGGCAGACGCACGATACTTCGGGTTAGCCTTCAAAGTAGGACCGAAGTATGGAAGGCGAGGATGAGAATAAGGGAGAACGACAATGGACGAGAGGTAAGCATGTCCGGAGGAAGAGCACGACGAAGCGACGAGGGCGGTAGAGGCCAGCAGCGCACCTGCTCCACGAGTTCGGGCGTCATGGGAGCGACGTAGGTGCGGTCGGCGGTGCCGGGGTCCGTCATGATGGTGGCGGGGTTGGAGTTGATCAGTATCACCTCGTACCCCTCCTCCTTCAGCGCCTTGCACGCCTGCAATCACGGCGACCACGCACGCACGCACGCACATACGCACGGCCGACGGTTGATGAGATTAAAACAAAAAAGGTGCACGGTATTAAAAGAAAAAAGGCTCCACACTGATTGGTTTGATAACCGCGAAGGTGGCATTTAGAGAACATTGGCTAACTACATTGATCGGTACTGCTAATGTGTAGATTATTCCTGCATTGATCCGCCCGGAACGCACCTGGGTCCCAGAATAGTCGAACTCGCAGGCCTGGCCAATCACAATGGGGTCCAGCGCCCAGGATCATGATCTTCTTGATATCCGTGCGCTTCCCGGCGGGGTTCAGCGCATCATCGCCCCACGCCGTGAAGGCCGGCGGCGCGTCCGCGCTAACAGCCTTGGGAGGATCTAGCGAGGCGCGCGCAACACCGCTTCCGCCAGTCTTGTGCGCCTTTACGAGGCTGAAAAGAGCGGCTTTTTCCGCTGATGGCTCTCAGCGACGCGTCCTTAGCGACGCGCTCGCCGAAGCAGCCGCTGTGGAGGGCACATGAGCGGGACTTCAATGCTTTCGCGTTGGTGAGGGTTGACGCGTCAAGCGCATTCGAGGTTTGAGCGACGACGGGCGACGCGTTTAGGGCCGCCATAGTTGGTTCTAACAACCTGAGCTGGCAAAATGCCTTGACGTAAGGTTGATTATGGCTTAGCTGTTAACGATCCCTTTGACGCGAGTGGGATCAGGAGCAGCCAATCCCTAACAAGGTTCTGACCCAACAGCCTGGCAGCTAAGGTAGGAGCCTCGCGAAGATACAAATCCCAGTGCTTCAGAAGAATGAAATGGAGTATTCTCTAGGCTGGCTGCATTGACGATGGCAGGGGAGAAAACGTGTGGAGGAAGAGAGTTGATGGACAGGGAAGCGGGAGAACAAGTGTGTTGTGTGGGTTTCAGAGTGGCTTGGAAGATAATCAGAAGTGTGACGTAATTTTCAGTGTGGTTTAGCCAAGGGCAGAGGTGTTGTGGTTTGATCCAAGAGTTGGCGGAGATTTTGCATTCCCCCCTTCCTTCTTCGCTGATACAAATGTCTGGCGGAATACATGCGCGCGCGGAGTTCCAGCAGGTGTTCGGTGAACCGCGCCCGCCAACGTCAATCTGAAGCATTTGACGCCGCGAAGCCCTTGAAGTGTGGCTCAGAGCAATCGGGGGCAGTTTGCGGCGCCTCTGTGGCGCACATATTTTCCCAGACTACGCTTCAGCGCGCGGAACTAGCTGCAAGGCCACGTGGGATTTCGTCTCCAGCCAATGGGAAATTTGCGGCGCCGAAGCTCGACGCTCTGGTTGGAGATTCAAGGGCAAGTGAGAAGCGAGAACCCAGACAGTGATGTCAACGTGAGCGTGGATTCGTCGACGTGTACAGTCGAAAGAACACTTGGCAGAAGCAGAGCAGCCTTCGTGCAACAAAGCCCCTCATAGTTCCGTCGAATGTGGGTCACGTGATTGAAGGAAAAAAACCATCTTCGCTGTAGGGAGGCTATATGTACAGAGCAAGTGTGTAACAATGTAAGGAATTTTCTCTACATTCTTTAGCGCACCCTGCAACATCGCGTACAGCAGCAGCCGTTGTTCGCCCGTTACTACTAACGGGGCTTCGCCGACTTCGCGTGCACTGTTTCACCAGACCTCACATCACACTGCTGGCCCGGCCGTGTCGGCCTACGCTTCGGGGCTAGCCCGAACCTTACTACCAGCATAGCACTAGCTAGCTCCCACGCACCGCGTTACCGTTTGCATGTTTCGCGTATAACTGTTCGCTCATGCCTTCGCTCACATTTTGTACTCGTTTGACACTTAGTGCAATCCTCGCTACCTCGATTCATTGCACCCGTAACACTTGGTATTCGGATCCTCTTTCCTTCTTCGAACCGCGCATCTCCGCACCCCAAGAAAACAACTTATGATTTTTTCACTCAAAGGGACTCACGCACCTTAGCCCCTAGGAGCCGCTGTCCTCGGGTTCTCCCGTAAACTTCTGCAGCCACTACTACGCCTAGAACTAAGACGGGCCGACGCCTTTCGAAATGGCTAAGCATATTGACGTCACCACCAGGCCCTCAGATATCAGCGTAAAACACGCTGATTACGTTGATTTTGTAGCTGTGATTTTCGTTTTCCCTGAAAATTCAGCATATGCTTCAATTTTGCACTGAAATTTCAGTATATCCTACCTTGTCACACTGACCATTTGCGTGTTTCTTGACAAGAAACACTGATGAATCAGTATGGAGACGTGAGTCACGCTGAAACGGAGTTGACCGCGTGTGGGTGGGGGGGGGGGGGGGGGGGGGGGGGGGGGGGGGGGGGGGGGGGGGGGGGGGGGGGGGGGGGGGGGGGGGGGGGGGGGGGGGGGGGGGGGGGGGGGGGGGGGGGGGGGGGGGGGGGGGGGGGGGGGGGGGGGGGGGGGGGGGGGGGGGGGGGGGGGGGGGGGGGGGGGGGGGGGGGGGGGGGGGGGGGGGGGGGGGGGGGGGGGGGGGGGGGGGGGGGGGGGGGGGGGGGGGGGGGGGGGGGGGGGGGGGGGGGGGGGGGGGGGGGGGGGGGGGGGGGGGGGGGGGGGGGGGGGGGGGGGGGGG